TTTTTTTTTTTTTCCCCGAAGGGACCCGTAATACTATCTGCTATATCAGCATGGAAGCCTATAGATCAGGCCCAAGCCTTGTACTCATAAAAATTTTTGAAATAACAGTCTTTCAAAATATTTTAAAAGGAATTTTTAAAATATTGGTGATCTCATTAAGTTTACAGAATGTTTATAATGTGTCTCTGAACTTGGTCAGTACACTTTTCACAGTATTTAAAAACAAATACATTCATCCAGACATTAGCATCTCTAGCTGGGACTGGAGTAAAAAAGTTGTATGAAACTCCAAAGGCAATAGTTTGGTGACTTCCTTTAAGATTCCTTTTTCAAACTTACATTAACAAAAATACCTTCTGTCCTTTCTGATTCCCACAGAATAGAAAATTAAACTCAGACTGTGGTAAGGTGGATGGTTTATCACAAGGCTTCTCTTTTCTTCAAACACATCTCTATAAGCATGAGCTCAATTTTGACAAAATAAAGGAAATTTCAAAAGGAATGATCAAAATGCTGCAAAAATGTTGCTCAGTTACCACTCATTTTCAACATCCATCTAGCAACCAAAGAAAGCTACTGTGCTTGTAACAGATCAATAATACCCTTGGATTACATTCCACCTATCTTCATCTACCATCATTTTATTGCAAAAAAATAAACCACAAACATATGTAGCCATGCTAGTAATGAAAGACCAGAGCCAGTTTGCAAGAGCATCAACACAAAGATGATAACTGAATGTACTGGGAGCTGAATAAACCTCCAAAAGAGCTAATGATAATACAGGTTTGATTTTTCAAAAGTACTTGTGATCTGGGCAGAAGAAAATACTGTTTCAAGCTTAATGTATGGTAAATATAATAGCTTTTTTGGGTAACCATTGTCACCATGCTGCTTCATCATATGGTACTTGATAGCAGTTTCAAAGGGCTTGAGTAACTACTATAAGGAGATTTCAGGAACATAATTCACAACAGATTCCAAAGAAGAAAAAACTTGGAAAAAATGTGAAGGTAAAAACATTGTGTATTTTCAGTTTAAAAAACCAAATCAAAACAACAGCAACAACAAAACTACTGTGTAAATATTCCATAGTTTTAAACCACAGTTTAATCCTTCAACAGTTAGGTTGTTGAATCACCATCCTTAATGAAAGGCAGTGGGCAACTTCTGTTGCTCTAGGGAAGAGGGCTAGGACTGATTTTCTAAATTGTATTTCCATCTTATTCTGTGTGAAAGGTGAGCACTGCTGTGTTAGCTCCTGCTATAGCTGAAGAAATTCACTCTGTCTTTTGCATTGAGCTGAAAGGATCAGGACACTGTGGAAAGGATAGTGGGAATAATGGTAGCGTCTCAAGGGAGAGAAATGGAGGTTTCTCATCCTTGCCCTTTCCATGTTGGATTGCAACCTTCACATCCTCTCATAAAACTGAAAACCAAACAGTGTTCACCACCTCTCCGTCTGGCATGACAGAAGGTAGGATTCTACAGCAATACCTGAACTTTTAGACAAAAAGTACCTGCTCTGTGGAACTGAAAAGCACCTACTGCAGTTAGGGCAGTCAGTATCTTAGAATGCAAAATCATTTCTCATTGAACACCCGATGACCTTCTACAGAAGTCTAAGGTAACTGAAGGCATCCAAGTTGGATTGCATAGGCGACTCTTCCTCTATGTGCAAGCAAAAACAGTATACCCTCCCCCGTGGTTTTGGGGTCTTACGAAGACAATTCTCAAAACATGGCAAAATCTAAGAGTTAAAAATTGAGTACAAAGAAATGTAAAGAATACCAACCACACATCTTGGCTCAGTTGTGTCATCAAGGCCACAGAATGAATGCTAGTGAAAAAAACAAAAAAAGGAACAAAAACTATAACATAAGACCAAAAGAAAATGAGGAAAAAAGAAAAGAAAAAAGATGTAAGATATGTAATATGAAATCCAATGACATTACATCAGTTATTCTTACATCACGAGTAATTGAGCTGATCTGAAACAGAGATACAGTATACCAATCTTACTCTAAAAAGTGGTAACGGTACAACAGTCAGTATTTGAGGGCAGCTTTACAAATGGTAACATTTGTGGATGATGTAACTTCAGAAATGTTAGGCTTGGCTTTGTGACTCAGCTAAGTACTTATAGTTACACACCTGAAAGCTTTCCTGAACCAAGACTTACCAAGCCAAGGGCACAAACTAAATGCAACTTAAATGGTAGAGAATCGGTTATGAGAAAAGCATGATGTGTTTAAATACCACTTGTTCCTCAGGTATCAACTGGTAGAATTAAACTGAGATTTTACATTATTCCTTTGCATAGCCTTTAGAAGCAGGACAGTTTGCTGAAGAATCTATAGGGCAAAAATACTGTCATCTTTATGTTCTTGCTTGACAGAATTTTACATAAAACTTAAAAATTTAATCCATTCCTAAAGGAAAACAAAAAGCCATACTCATAGTGACTACGAGTAGTGCACTGCCCTTAGCTACAACCAGCAATGAGGCTCAGCTATAAATCCTGCTCTTCCTTCAGAAGCACAAGACTTGTCTCCACGAGAAATTGTAGTGCTCAGTATGAGCAGCATGCAGCTGTCAGTCTGCACCCACTGACATATTAGACCTTCAGAATAACAATGAAGCAGAAGTACATCATTTACTACTGATTCTCTAAAAACACAATCTTGCTTCGGTCAGTCAAATTCAGAATGGGATTTAATCCCAAGGAAAAAAAAAAGTAATACAGATAGGAGGAAGCCCTCCACCCATCCAGGAGTTAAAGGATAAAAGAAAATTATAAAGCTTTTTTGAGTTGTCCTGTTAATGTAATGTTAAGACAAAGAGAATGTTAATCATTTTAACTCATTACAAGCTTTCTGTTAAGCTTGTGATTAAGCTGTTTCTTTTCCAATACTGTTCCCTATCCATTGCACTGATGAACCAGCACACATAATGTTAGCTTCCATTTTCAAAATTAGCAGTCTGTCTAATCCAACACCTGCTCTGTAAACTGTCATGGCAATACATTAAGGGCTTACATTTTTGTAATAGCAACTCCTAGAGATTTAGATGTTTTAGAATAGGTGGATAAACACAATTAACACAATTTGCGACAATTAACATGTAGAGATATCACCTATCCCTCAAGGTTTCTCTCCCTTGAGGAGTTAACTGCAGCATCTTAGACATCACTGGCTGTTAGGCAGGAACAGCTTCAGGTATAGAAATGGTCCAGGGCACAAGAGGGCAAAGGCAGCAAAAGAGCCCTTTAAGGGGTGGATACTGCCTATGTTTCTCTGCTATTGGAAATGGGGACCTCCTCCCTGGCAGATGCAGACAGACTAGCCCCAGCCAGGGAGTAGTGGGGGTGATGTAACGTGACAATTAGCAACAGCAGCAGGCAGCCCAGCCATCACAGATCTTCCTCTGTCTCTCTCACAAACCCAGATGGATATCATAGTTCAAAAAGTGCAGGATGAGGTACTGCAGAAGTGAGACAGCTACCGTGGGAGCAGAAGGGGCCAAGGAAGCTGCTGAGGGAATTGTAGTAGCTACTAGAAGTGCAATACTCCCAGAGGGTGACACAGGGAGGACGGTCACATCCCGAGAGCAGATGAAGGGACAGTGAGATTAGTGAAGGGTGAGAAAGAAACCTTCCCACATCCAGCGTGGTGGTCTCCAAAGCCTCTCTCAGTTCTCCAAATCCCACTGACCTCCTCCAACTCCCATTCAGAGTCCTCCAAAAGCCTTCCTTTTGCTCTTTTACCTTGTTCTGATCCCAAAAGAAAAAAAAAAAAAAAAGACTAAAATTCCACTAACTTCTCCATTCAGCCCAGCAGCAAGTTTATGTAGGATTAAGTACCCATCCATGTGACTCATCTTGGAATAAAGGCACTGGTTTAGCAAAAGCAACATAACTAAAACACTTTGCTAGGGCTTAGAAAAAGCCCCATTGTCAGCCTATGCCCTGCAGAGCAGCCTAAACTCCACAGACCTGGGACACACTTCAGCCCACAGTCCAGGAACCTCACGTCATCTCTTGCTTGGTACCACCGTGACCCAGATACATTTGCTGTCTTAAGCCTCAGTCAGAGCTTCTTCAAAAGAGGAGAAAATTTGGATCTGGGATATTAATTTGGAACTTGTTTCTATCTTAAAGCAAGAAATATTTTTTGATTGTGGTGTTTGCCACATGCACCTCATTATTTTTTTTTTTTTTAATTTTCAGTGCTTGCAAGTTTTGCAATGTTATTTGAAGAGTAAGACTGAGCTAACCGAGTCTGTCAAACAGAGACAAATCTCTATGTTGTTTCTTGATCTAAACCACAGCAAATCCTCCTCTTTTTAGTCTAGTGTCTTTCCAGACCCCTTGATTCCTTTCTGTACTTGATAGAAAACCTAGACAGTAAATATTTTTGAGCAGGTTAGGGTCAGAGCTTCATTTCATGCAGCAATGACTTGAACTCAAATTTTATCTTGTTTTAAAATAGATTTTGTGCTATTAGGTTAAGTACTATTAACATCAATGCAACAGAGATAAATAAATTAGTGTGGAAAAAAAATCCATCGGCACTGCCGAGGCATTTATTTACCTTCTCCTCAATTTCTTTGAGTTGCCTCTTTTGAAGTTCTATTTTATCTTCTAGTTCTCGAATTCGCTGGAACACACAAAAAAAAGCAAAATAGAAATTATTTTATCTAATTTGAAAAGTATATGAATCAAAAATATAACAAATTGATTAAGACTTAAAAGAACAGATGCCCATTATTGACGTAACATTTCCTTTGCAGTTAGATTAGGTATGTTCATGGCAGATTTGCTTCACATTTCCATTAAACCATGGTATTTCAAACAAGCTGCACATTTAGAACATCATGTTTACTACCAGGAAGCCTAGTCATTAGCACTCATTAATCATAATTTTAACATACACACACAAACAATTCCAATTAGCAACAAAATTCTTAGAAGTCCAACACTTCTTTCTGTGCAACTGACAAAAGTTTTTCTACTTACCTCGACAGTCAGCAGATCATATGATTACATTTTATTTTAACTCGCTATTTTCCTTTCCTATAAAACATAACTATGCTTCTGGCATAGTCACGCTATACCAGAAAAACAGAGCACACAGATTTTCAGATCATCATCAAGACACCATCCAGAGATCCAGCTCTATCCAATTACCAGAGTCACCTCCCAACAGAGTCACAGGGAATGTCTCCTTCAGAGTAGCTCTCCGTACTTCTAAGGATTTTCCTTGTTCAGTTCCACAAAGGTTCTCCAAAAATATGACTGCATTGGGTGCACGTATCCCATCTTATCTCTGTCCTGTTGTTTCCTTTCTGTAAATTATGCTTATTTTCTTTTTCTTTATTTTTTTAAAAATTATTTTTCTGGGCTTCTATCTTAAGAAGATGCATTTTATTACATTGTACTTGTTACAGATAATGTAAGTTCATAATTTTTTTTAAAATTATTTTTTGATAGAAACCTGGAATCTCCTACTAACAGCCACTGGGAATCTGGGAACAACTTTATACTTTCAGCTTTTATTCAGGATTAACTACTTTACCTGGCCTACAACAGATAAGGTTATTTACAATTCCTGAACTTTGAAAGAGAAAGTATTATCTACTCTAATTTCTATGCATAGGTCAAAAAAATCAATGTAGCAGCTACTGCATGAGTCCCAAATATTTTATTACACCCGAATTGATTTGACCAATAGTATCTCTTTCAAAACAACATCCAACCATTATTTATAAATCTGTGTGTCCAACAGTGGTTGACTACATGTATTCCATTCAAAGACCTCAAACACTGGGAAATGCCCCACGCTTGTGGCAGCCCAGGACAGTTGCAGCAAGGCAGCAGCTGATCCAAGGACCATTTTGTATTGGTTTTGAGAACTACAAAGTTCAGCCTGAACATTTCAAATCTAACCTGGAGCTACCCCAAAGATGAGGTAATTCCACCCTGAAATTCACCTTGCCTAGGGCATACTAGTCTCAACACAAATATTGCAGACAGGTGACAAGCAATAGTTTTGTTACTGTTGCTGCTGTTTTGAAATAAAAAATCTTGCTTGAATGACTGTTTTCAATATTTTGCAGTCAGAATAAGTCAATCAAAACCTTCACTGTATCATGCTGCTTTGCTCAGAGATTTCCCCAGATAATATAAAAGCACAAACCAGATTACCCTCATGTGACACAAGCACATGAAGCTTTGCTGACAGTAACAAATGCCCCGAGCACAGCTGTATTAATTTCACTTTTCCTCTATTACATTTGAATTGATTTATACTTCATCTACTCTCTACCTCTCAAGCTATCATCTTCATATACTGTATGTGATTCTATGTACCAGGAATATTACAGTCTCTGTAAAAAGCCGTGGGATGAGAAGCAGAAAGGTGTAATCACCTCTGAGATCTCTTGCCCATCAGCTTACATCCCTCTTCTCTCCTTCTAATTTCAGTTCTGCTGATTCCTACTTACAACCACATCCCAGATCTGAGCGACAGACTTCAATTCTCTGGGGGTCTTGCTATGCTCTGTGATAAAATTTGACCATGGTGAGATAAGTGGAGAGAAGCAATATTTTTAAACATCATTTTCACCTTGAGATTTATCATGTGAGATTTTTTTCCAATATCTGCTGAGAACTCGCCTCTAGAAAAAAATGAAAATAAAAAAGCCCCCAAACATCTCGTGACTTTCTCACCACAGGGTTTCCAGCAAATATTCTTTTATAAAATAACATATTAATTATGATAAGATGACATTTTTCAGATTTGGGAATTCTGTTAATTAAGTAAAAATTGAGATGTTATTATTCCCTTATGAATTTTTAATCTTTTCAAAAGATTACAGCTATTCAGCTGTTCAGAATAGTCCTAAAAAAAAGGTCTGAGGCTTCTGTTTTCCAATTCCACCCATAACCCATCATAATTGTTAAACTTTGTAACAAAAAAAAAGGGGAATATTTTTAAGGTGAAGAAATATACACTTTCCTAAAAATCAGTTTAAACACAAAGACAGCCTAGCAACTGAAAGTGAATACACATAGGGTTGAATTTCTTACTAGTGGAAATCTACAAAAAATCCTTAAAACAACTAGATTTATGTTAGCAAGGCAGATATATACAGGCTGGATATAGACTACAGGGCAGATACTTACATTGTACACATGTGCATACATAGACCTGTTCCAGAGTTGCCACCTGAGGATAATACATTGAAGACGGGTGCCTAGAATTTAAATAGCTAGTATTTCCCTCATACGAGTGGAAATCACAATGACAGAAGACTTACACTGCAATTTAGTAAGATTTTGTAACCAACTTCTTTACTACAAAAACTGAGTTCAAACCTACACAGGTCAGAATTTGTTTTAAAGCACAGCTGTGGGCTGGAATTTTCCACCAGGTATCGAAGCTTGGGATTGTTTACTTCTAGTTGTTTACTTGCTTTCTCCAGGAGTATTGTATGGAGGATTATCCAGGAGGATGAAGTGGGCGTAGCTATTCCCATCAATATCCTCTGATTGCACAGGGTCAGCACTGGACGACAGCCAGCCTAGCTCAGCTATTTATATATCCTGAAAAATCTGATTTAACTCATTTATGTCCATTTAACTGCAGAGATAACCTTAAAAATATACATATGTATGCAGTATATTGTCAGGGAAAAAAAAGATTTACATCTGCATATGGTATTTAACACAAAAATAATTATTTTTCCCCATTGTACCTATCTGAGTTGACAGCATTATCTTGACCATACAAAGATAGCAGTTTTCAAAATACGACTTCAAAAAATACATATAAGCTACATGCACTAATCCTAACTTTAACAACAAAAGTATCTTCTAGAAGTAGCAAGGATGTTCCTCAGTCAAAGGTTGTATTAAACTACTGAGAAGGAAATTACACAAAAATTACATATATTAATTAAGACCAAAGTCAGGACTGCTTGAGATTCAGTATAAACATTTACATCTTTATCTACTGTTCCTTTTATTTGCAAGAATTAGCAATCAAGAAGCTGTGGACTCACTCTCGAGTTTTCAACACTTGATTAGATGCTTTCAGTGAATTCTGATTTGTTTATGTTTGCAAAAGCATAACTGTGACAACAAAACAACCAGAACTATTTTATTGTTATCAAGAAATTCTACCTGCTTTCATGTTTCAGGGCATAATGTGACGATCAGTAAGTTGAGCTTTTACTACTATGTCATACAGAGTTATAACGGTTGTGCTATAAAAGCATTCAGCTCCATCCTTGGCAAGGCTTGCAGGAACCTTGCAGGGTAAATCCAATACATTTTCAAATGTACAAAAAACTACTTGAAGAAGCAACGAAATCTACTATATCTCGGTCTCAAAACACTAAGAAGTCTCGGTTGAGAAGAAAGCCACAGGCTGTTCTTCCATTTATTTTCTTTTGTAAAAAGGTAGGGATAGAATATATGGAAAGAAAACCTAAAACCAGCACAGTGTTTATGTTTCCTTTAAAGCCCCAAGCAGGGTCACAGTGAGAGCGAGGACTGGGGACAAAGTGGAGCCGTGTTCTGCTGGGTTGTAGCAATTCCTGTGTTCCTATGGTTAATAGCTGCTCCTCAGTCACGTGAGTGCACGTTTTTGGGACTGACAGGATTCACAAGAATAATACTGTGTTGTCAAACCATGGGGCCATACAAAGGAATTACTGTAGGCAAACAAAGAGCCACAGTCAGACAAATGAGAATTAAAATGAGAATGCAACCATCAAAGAGAAGAGCACAAACACTAGGGACATGGGTTCTTTCCACTGTCCATCTCGCCTGCATTGAAAACCCACCTGCCAAAATTAATGAATACTAATTTGTATTGATTTTATTACAACAGCAAATAAAACTTCACAAAACTTCTGGATGATGGACGGGTAGATTTGTGAACACTCCCTGTTACTACCTTCACCCCCATGGAGCTCTCCTGAGTTCTGGAAAGGGGGTTGGACAGCATCCATTTCGGTATGGCGAGACCCTACTTGATAGATCATCATTCCATTAGCAATAAAGTTTGCTGCCACTTCTGAGTAAGGAAGTGCTTGTGAGCAGCCAGAAAGCAGCCGGGGCTGAAAGGCCACAGCGCTGTTCCGAGTTAACAGCAGGTGGCTCTGCTGGCCAAGCCACGGCTGGAACCGCAACTGCAGCGCTGCCAGGAAGGAGGCTCAGCTGGGAAATCCATTTGCATTTATTTCCAACATGCTAAAGATGTACAACATACGCCTTATCTGCAGTTTGAAAATACGTTGGAGTTCCATTATAATTTTTTTCTTAATAGGAGTTGTATATGCTTCATACGTACAAAGGTAGGTGGCTCAGCTATAATCCTGCTGGACAGCCTAAAAATGCTGACAGTTAGGTAGGAGAGAAAACATCCAGAACATTAAGACAGCTAAAGCATACATTTCCTTTGGATTTCTGTGGTGTGAAGACAGGCATATCACTGAAAGTCTGCCAAAGCACCCCTAACACAGCACGATTTACCACATCACTGAACAGAGCTGTACAAGGGAAGTTTACCATCAGTCATTTCCAGTTGTATAAATTATACGTTTATGATACCAAGATGGGACTACACAACACTATTACTCACAACAGTTT